AATAAGATTGATAAATTAACACCAAAATTATTGTCTAGACAAATTTAAAATGTGAAGAATTCTTTCTTATTTTTAAAGATAGTAATAATTTTAAGTACACTTTTTAAATTTTTCTTTTTATTTACTCCATGATGTATATTGCATAACATACAATTTTATTTATATCACAGAAGAAACAAAAATCTTCAAATAATTTATTTTCTAAATAAAAAATGATATTCCCCTTCTAAATACTGAGAATGTACCAAACTGAAAACTGTGTTAACAGATGAAATTTGACAGACTAATGAGACTTTGAAAAATAGATACTGACAGAATAATAGAGCACTGGCACATATTTGAAATATTCTGTACATAGTCACTGTTTTGGCACAATTTCACACTGTCTTCACGTGTTTTATTTTTCAGTAAATTTGGAAGAAAAATATCTTAATTTTGGGAGATCCACATAGGCTATAGTACACATTAGATTCCTTCCTCCATACAAGACGCAACTCCATAATTATTTCTTAGGCACTCATTCACATGCTTCCAAATTTCTTTCATCAAGAGGCTAGGCTTTCCCTGTAAAAATAAAGGAAATGGACATTGAGTTTTTCAAATGTTAAATTTCATAAAGTTAGATTGTTATAATCATTTTGTATTGATATAATAAATATTGCAAAATTCAACATTATCTAAAATAATTTTAAAGAAAAAATAAGTACTGATTCAATTACTGATGTTATAGTGATTATTTATTCTTATGACATGTTCAAAGCAAACCAACTTAATAATTATTGTAGACAAGGCAGCTTACCTCTGTAAATATCGCCACAGCCAGGATATCAAACTGAGCCAATTCTTTCTTCTCTTCGTGAATATTTTTTACTTCTCTCACTTTCTACAATTCTCCTCCTTAGCAACATTTCATTGAAGGGCTTTCCGTCAAATCCCGACGCAATCGATGAAAATGCCAAGCAAAATATAAAATAGAATACCATTTCCAAAAGCAAACCACAATTGAATTCACTTACAGAACAAAAACGGCGAAACAAGTACGCGCTAGCACCGACTGCTCTCGTGGGCTCCACACAGCCACACACAGCTGTTTGCCGCATGTTGCAGGGGGAATTGAGTAAGGTTGACCTCTCTCTCTTTGTTAATCATGCCAATATCCAGCGAAAAAAAGACCTATGGACATCGTAGTATGTAATGCTTCCATTGCGTAGGGAATGAAGTTTAGGTTGACTCCTACTGCGGTTCAACTTAAATCTTAACCAAAAGTCCCTAAGCCAATTAGAGGATAGGTGGGTGATTTACACAAGGTTGGTATGGAAGGGACGAGTTAGTTTGGCCGAATGTCTGTAGATGTCTCTGGCAAATTCAGAGCGCGCTGCTTCGCGATGCTCCGACATGAACACATCAGCGCTGCAATTTCGCAACAGCAACTCTCTCTTCGCTCTCATCGTTTTATCGCCGCTCCAACATAAACGTACCTTACAAAGTACAGCGCTCTCCAGGATTACTTAACCGTATTGTTAATATGATCCGACCCAACCTAAGTCGCTTCGCAGGACCAAACCCAAATACTTACAGTTTTTTACACGTGGATAACGTTAGTTCCTAATTCATAACTGGGGCGTACGTTCGAGCGAGACTTGGTAAGCAAATTAATTTACTCTTTTCCGATTTAATTCTATCTTATTTCTGCACGCCCAGTTCATAAAACAGTTTAAGATCGCTCTGTAAAACATTTTTCGTCCTCAGACGACCAATTCTCCTATTATATTATGCAATCGTCGGCGAAAAGTCTAACTTTTGATTTTCATCCAGTTGCAATGTCATTAATGAACGCTAAGAATAGCAAAGCCCTAACACACTCCCCTGGGGGACCCCCGAGGTTACATCGGCTTTCGATGAATATTTGTCTCCTATTCTGACTGTTGAGTGCGCCCCGTAAGAAATTCTTTTATTCACAGGATTATTCGATGATCTATTCCCGTTTCTGACAATTTGGCATTAAAAGGCCATGTGGAACAAGATCAAATGCCTTAGAAAAATCTAATAAGTATTGCGTCGACCCTACTCCCTTCGTCTAACGATCTGCTATGTCCTGACAAAAAGCAATTGTGTGCTGTCGCACGAATACCCAGCGACGAAAACCGTGTTGATTTGAAATAGCCAATCAGTTTTTTATTCCAAACTCGTCTAATATACTCCGCGATTATGTGTTCCATCTGTTTGCATACGACTGATGTTAAACTTATAGGCATGTAATTTGTTAACAATCCTTTCTGTTCTCCTCCCTTGTGAATCGGCACTACGACTGCTTCTTCCAATTTGAGGAATCATGCTATTTTATTTACAGTAACCTCCTAAACGCGCAAGGTATGGAATCATAGCTTCCCCTCCCAGTTTTAGTATTTCTCTGGTATTCCATCAGGACTACTGATTTATTTCTCCTAATTTTTGAAATCGTTTTCTAATAATTCCTCCATCGATTCGGAAGGTTTCCATTGTAAGAATGCTCCACTTCTAACCGCCCCTCCTCACTTCGCACTTCGATCCGCGCCTAGTTTTTGTTTTTATAAACATACGATAAATTGAATATATGTGGAGCCGCATAGAATGTAGTAACGAGTATGTATTTGGCATTTGTAGTCGGATTAATCAGACTTTTACTATTTATTTATTTATTTATTTATTTATTTATTTATTTATTTAATTTATTTATTTTTTATTTATTTATTTTATTTATTTATTTATTATTTATTTATTTATTTATTTATTTATTTATTTATTTATTTATTTATTTATTTACTTTATTTAATTTATTTATTTATTATTTATTTATTTATTATTTATTTATTTATTTATTTTATTTATTTATTTTTTATTTATTTATATTTATTTTTATTTTATTATTTATTTATTTATTTATTTATTTTTTTATTTATTTATTTTTTATTTATTTATTTATTTATTTATTTATTTATTTATTTATTTTATTTATTTATTTATTTATTTATTTATTTATTTATTTATTTATTTATTATTTATTATTTATTTATTTATTTATTTATTTATTTATTTATTTATTTATTTATTTTTATTTATTATTTATTTATTTATTTATTTATTTATTACGTCAAAAAATGTAAAAAATACTGTGAGTGGCGTGCAATGGGGAAAAGTTACATTTATGTCCAGAAGCAAAATGAGGGTCCATCTCAGCATTTGCTCAAGGATCAGGGAATCTATCTGGACGAAAACCTGATCGAGATGGGGGTCATTGACCCAGAAGCTGAAGTACAATACTTGTTACAGTACAATTATTTAATTTTATTTACAATTATACAATCCAAATGGTATAAAAAACATTAAATGTCATTGTTAAAATTAATATTACTTTTCTTTTGAATGCTCGGTGTAGTCTCTAATTATATAGAAACAGTTGTGCAACAGAAAATATATTACTTGGGACTTAAACTTTTGTATTGAATTTAATCGCTTAATGCAGCAGGTCCTAGGTAGCGGTTTTTCCAGGCCTGGGCCCTGATTTACTTTCTCGCTACCGCTTACGCATTAGCGAGAAAGTTGCGTAATGCTGTAAGAAAAAGCGGCGAATTTTCGGCAGAAAACTCTTATTGCCAGGCCCTGGTAACTTAAAAAAATCCAGATGCAAAATTTAGATAAAAAATCTCTAATTGGTGGTGTATCCAGGATTCATATTTTGTGGATTCTTGAAACCGAAAAATCAGTTGACGGCAAAACGTTTGCCCGTCCGTCCGTCTGTGAACAACGTTAAAGACTAAACCGTTCAGCCGATTTTCTCCGAAATTGACATTCCCCTATCGAACCGGTTGATGACGCAGCCCCTTGTACTTTACATGAAGACCCTGGGACATTTTCAAAAAAATGAATACATTTTATAAAACTTTGCTCTTTGATAGTGTGAAGGACGTTTAAGAGAATTGTTCAGGTTTCGTGATCGCTAGAAATACTAATTTTGCGAAAATTGTAAAAGTTTTTTTGTGGGGGGTCTTTCTACACCTTGAAAATTTAAGGTAGAGTTTTTCCCTTGGTGCAATCTCTTCCTTAAGGATAGAATTTGAAATAAGGTCATGTACAATTTTTCGCTTCGCCGCCCTCTTCGAATTTCCTGCCCTTCGTGAACTTAATTTGGAAGATGATTCTAGGTAGTTGGATGCTACGTAAGTTAGAATTTGTATATTATTTCATATTTATTTGTTCGTTTCTTACATTTGAGCTTTGATTATACATTTACAAATTAGATTCTTAGAAATAATTGAAAATACATTTGATAATCCATATTTTTTTGTCTGTGTTGCGAGGAATGTATTTGCATTTTTATGCATTGATGTATTTTCTTTCAAGCAATCCGCAAACATTAAATAAAAATTAGCCCAATTAGGTTTTTAAAAAAATATGATTTGAATGCATTATGAAAGAAAATTGCTAGCATTCTGGGAATATCAAATTGGAATCCTTTTTTGGAATCCATTGGTTCCATTTGCTTTATCTGTTTCTCAAAAAAAGTAATAACTAATAAAAAACATCACGTTCGCCCCTCGCCACTCCACCCATTCTACACGACAGCCTCCATTCTCCTCGACATAATTCATTTCCAATCTTGATTTACTGGAAAACTAATTACTCCATAGAAATTAATAACTGCATTCACTATGAAATTTGATGACATTTCAATAAAGTCACTTACACTCGGAACATATTTCCTCACATGTTTCCGACATTTTCGCGAAAAACTGGAGAAGTGAGCACTGAATTCCTGTTCCGTCCTTTAGGGTGGAATTAGGAATGTGATTTAGAGTGGAAAGCATCATGTTGAAATATTCCAAATGAAGATAAATCAAAATAGAAATTTTCAAGAAAATGGGATTATCGGTTGAAAAATTGTTAGGAAAGACAAATATACAATATTTTTTTTAAAAAGATTGACTCTCATCAATCCAATATTTCACATTCTCTATTTTTAATAACAAATGAAACGAATTTCGGATGTGTGAGGTCACAGGTAGGTTACGTCACTGCGACACGTCAAGTCCCAGGAGATTCCGATGTTCATTCTGACGCATCATAGGATGGGATTTCACGCAGTCAGAATGGCCAACTGCGAGTAAATTCCCCGCTTCAAATATCGTCCACTAACCATTCTTTTAGAATAATTCTCTCTTTTAACCAACACATCATAACACGCAATTTATTAAATATAAAATTCATACAAAACAATCAATTATATGAAATTTCTTTGAGACATCATGTTGTTAAGAAGACACTGTCGTGTGTTGTCAGAAATTGGGACTGCTGACAGCACAGTTGTGGTTCGAGTGTGGTCGGCGACCTGTGGAGGAACAGTTGCCTGAGAAAGTTGTGTGCAGTGTGACAGGATACGTGGAATCCAGGAAACTGCGGATAAATTCGAATCATTGGTTGAGAGCTGATCTCAGAGGACTGTTGGATTGCACGTGATTCCTCTGAATTGTAATTCGAACTTCGGTTCTCGTACGTCATGTCGCATTTTCAGTCTCCAATGCCCTCTCGCGAATTTCTTTGGGATGTTTTTCAGAGGTAAGATAGAGAAAGGCGAATTAAACTCCAGAATTAAGGCACCTCTTTTTTTTTAAATAAATATTTAAGGAGTGTACTATAATTCTGTTGCATGTGATGCTCAATAGCTTGTTTTCTCTCGGATTGTGAATGCATTCTATAGAAAAGGCGTTTAATATCCTCAGAACAGGTCATAATTATCTTTTTTCAGTAACAAATTAAATGCAATAATTTATTTTTTTCAATCCCTAGGGTTGATAAAGATCGCAGTGGTTATATTTCTGCAGATGAACTTCAGATTGCATTATCAAATGGCACTTGGACACCCTTCAATCCAGAAACTGTACGGCTAATGATAGGTATGTCGGTGTTACAAAATAGTTGCAAACTATTCTGACTTATAAATTATATGTCAGTGTTTGGAATTAGCCTTGTTTTGTAATGCTCAGCATGTTTGTATTCATTTCAACTTCATCAAGGAGTAGTATGTTCATTGTAGAGGAAAAGTTCGAAAATAATTTGTAGATTACAATTTTAATAAAAACAAACTAACAACAAATCACATCATCTAGTAGAGTGGCCAAGCAGATGTAATATGTAAACAATAGATTCCATATTTTCTTTTATTTATTTTGTGGGTTTTTAGGAATGTTTGATAAACAGAGCAGAGGAGCTGTGAATTTTGAAGACTTTGGTGCACTGTGGAAGTATGTCACAGATTGGCAAAATTGTTTTCGCTCATTTGATAGAGACAATTCTGGCAATATAGACAGAAACGAGCTGAAAATAGCTTTAACAAGTTTTGGATACAGGCTGTCTGAACACCTCATTGATTTGCTGGTACGGAAGTATGACCGTAGTGGTAAAGGAGTAATATATTTTGATGATTTCATTCAGTGCTGCATTGTATTGTATGTAAGTATATTATTGATTCTTACATTTTTAGGTTTTACCATAACCAAACCTTTTTTGCATAAAAATTATTTCAGTGATCTGTTTGTATGACATGCTGTAATTTCTCAAAATTTTTATTTTCATTTGTTCACTCAAAATGTTAAAAGAAAAGCCAGTCATATTTGCAGTATTATTTCCTTTAATTTGAGTAATGCACAGAGGAAATTTTTAATTTAGGCCAATTGACAGAACGTGACAGAATTATTTATACATCAGTATCTGTTTCCTGAAGATAGTTTTGGCTTCTGCACTTTCTTCTTTTCTCTTTACTCTTTGTAATGGCCTATGGGAAATTGCCTCGTGAGTGAAAAATAGTTTCCCCTGATGCTAGAAGTAGTTTCATTGAGATGCCGATACTTCATTCATTGAAGCCTGTTATGATCTCCATCTAAGAGGAGGATGACCAGCTTTGTTAGCAAAATTATGAAGACAAAACAATTCATATTATTTTTTAAATTTCACACTTTATTTATACTAGACAAATGTTATACTTTTTATTAAATAATTCAGAATCATGACTAATGAAATGGATGGCTTCTGATTTTTTTGACATTCCAGGAATCAGATTTTTCAATGCAAAAACTATATGTTAAAAGTGATCTGTAAAAGAAAATATTATTATTATTATAACAATAACAACTTGTAAAGAGCAACATTCTTCAATCTGAACAAAAACATGTTCTTTATTTTTCCAGACTTTGACATCTTCATTCCGCCAATATGACACAGATCAAGATGGAGTGATTACAATCCATTATGAACAGTTCCTCAGCATGGTTTTCAGCCTTCGCATCTAATGTTGTATATTTTTGAGACCCAATGTATTTTATGTAAAACATTGTTGATGGTAATTTTGGGAAACCTTGACATGCTTCAGAAATTTGTCCTCTAAATAAGTGTGCCATTTTGAAAACAGTTAGCTTTATATTTAAAAGAACAAATTGTCATTTCTCTTGAAATTTGATTTAGTTTATGTGTATCTTTTCATGTTCTTTTTGTATGTATATGTCTGTTCTAATAATGTCTTTTGTTGTGACATTCTACTTGTAGGTTGTTTTCTTTAAGAATGTATGACAAGAAATTGATTCACGAGAACTTGACTTTATAGATCTTGAAAATTATGTGAGATACTTGTGCGGTTCTTTTCATTTTGAGGATTTTATTATAGTTCCATGTCATAGGTGCATTTGAGAAATGTTTTGGAGAAATTGCATGTTATTCATTTGCAACATCAATATGTAGAAGAATCAGCAATTGAAGGGCTTAATTTTGTACCGAGAAGATCTTCCCGAGTACTGAGTATTGAGTTTTACAGAATTTTTATGAATGTTTTACTGTAGAGCAACTATGTCTGTAGGTCTGAAGGATACTACGCCAAGCACACATGTGCACATAGCTTTAATATTTTATACCTGTTATTGTTAAGGAATTTACATTTATAAAATTATGGACCTATTGAGAAGAATAAAGATCTGAATCTATAATATGTGGAGTGTTAGCATTGAGTTTGTTTATAAATTGTTAATTAGCCCTTCTATTTGTGTTGTTTAATCAAAGAAGATGGGTAATTATTTGGATTTGGTTATTACTTGGGTGTACTGTGGTAGTTTATTTCTGGAAGTTTATTACACAGCAATATTGCTTAAATGTAATAAGGACAATATGTGCTGCTGGATTACAATTGATATTACTGAAGGAGCAGCGTGAGAGAAGACAAGATAATTAGTATTTTGCAAGTGCAATATTGAAAGATTTCATTGTATTTTTCTTGGAATGATAAAATCAGAATGTCCATGTGGTGTTAACTTTCCAAAGCAATCCTACTTTTTGGTATAGATGTGCTTTGGACTGCACAGCTTTACTAAAAGAGCAGCTTCAGAGATGACTAACCTGCTTCAGTGTCTCTTTGTTTTCTTGATTTTCCAATACCTTTACACAATGAATTCAAGAGAATAACTAGCAGTATGATCTTACGGCAAAAGTGCCCAATAATGTAAAAGAATTCACACCTAAGGACCTTGTTGAATGTTAAGTTATTCTTGAATGTATTTTCACTCAAAATGGGATTTGCCGTAGTATGCTTTCTCTATGAAATATTTTGAACATTATAATTTGAAATAATGAAGTTGAGTTAAAAGGAAGAATGGCTTGAGACCAAAATCAGTTTAGAAAAACAAATTGTTAATGACATTTTTTTAATGAATTTTTTTCCACGTTGCAGCTAGATTGAAAGAAAGTGTATCCTTAATCTTAATATAACAATTTAAGTGACATTATGACTTATGATGTTCTTCCACATTTGATTTGAGTCTTTCCAGATTTTTATTTAATAAAGTTTTAGACTTTTACATGTGATACATTTTTATGACAGACATTAAAAAGTAAAGTAAATGATCTCCTTGCTGCATATTTTATATAAGAAAGTGATTCTAAATTGAATTGCATTAAAAATGAGTTCTAAGAATATGTTTCTTGCCAGACACTCATCTTTTAATGTTACTTAATAATTATCTGCAATGTAAGTAAAACAAGATAAGTCAAACTTCAGTTAATGTGACATAAATGCATTATAAAGATTAACTGAACAAGTGAAAGTAAGCAGCACAATGAATAGGTGTAGGAGAGATTTATGTTAAACATTGCAAACTGTTTGATGCACAAACAGCTCTTTTTATTTGCATCCTAGTGTCATTTATTTGAACTTCTAAAAGGAATGTGAGGAAGGGGGACACAATACTTCGTTAAAAACTAAAGAAAAATCTACTGGATTTATAAAGAAATGGTGTAGGTGAAATCGTAAACTCAGAGCAGTTTGTAAGTTTGATAATAAAATAGTAGGATTGTATTTTATGTGATAAAGAAGTTAATGGTTAGTGATTTGTTTTTCTAAATGAAAATGTTAGAGTATTTGTTTAGTAATAGAGCATTTTACATGGCTTTACTTAATGTCTCTTGAATTTGAAATTATTAGCAACAGGAATTCATTCTGCCATATGTTCAAAATTCAGACTTGAAAATATATAAAAGAAATTTGGATATGTATTAAGTATCCTTCTGAAGTTCCCCAAAAAGTAGAAGTTGGTGATCACATGCTGCTATCAATAGTGCTTACGTTTCCTCAAGAGAAGAACTAACTGAACATGAAAGAAAAATGTGTGTAAATGGTGTCTGCACATCACCGTGAATGTTGAAATACCTTTGATTGAAATAAAACTTATTTAAGAATTAACTTGTTTTTTTTTTGGGGGGGGGGGGATGATTGGCAGTTTAGGACCATGCAGACATATACCTACACTTTATGAGGCTCGGTAATATATATCCTGTGGCAAGTGTACGTGACTCCTTTTTAGGGGATCAGCATTTGTTGAATAGAATTTTTATCCCCTAGGGTTGCTAGTTCTGGGGGAATGGAAGATTGATTGATAATAATGATTATAATGAAGGATGAGTGGACGACTGACACATACAGACATATGCAAACACACTCATGCCTGAGGCGGGACTGAAACGCAATCCGTTGTGCGTTTTGAATGGCAGGACTGATAGAAAATCTGTCAACAGAAGGGAATGTTTTTAGATGAAATCTGATGAAAGATTACAAACAATTCAATATTAGCATGCAAAACTTTCAAGAGGGGCGTAAAAAGTCAGATATTGCAGCTTGGCAGGAAGACTAGAAAGAAAGAAACCTTGATACATGTGAAGATGAGTGTAGTGACAAAAACCATGATTATGATGGTATTAAAGAACAAGAAAATAATAGTTCAGCAAAAAGTTTTAACGTTCTCATCAACAAGTCAATTTTCTAGTCAATAAGACATTTTGTAATTTTATTTCGGTTAATTGTAAGAATTAGTTAAAAAAAAATTTCTTAAAGAAGTCTTTTCAAAATTAGGGGGTTGTCTTGTATTCAGGTAAATATGGTGTATGCATTCGTTAATGAAGTTCCTGAACTACTTTTCTAATTAGAAGTACACACATGATGTGCTGCTTGGTATGTGTTAAGAGTAGTATAATAAGATTTTGAAATACTTTTAAATGTGATGTGGCTATAAATCTAGACTTCAATAGAAAACATTCAGGGAATAATACTATCTCAATCTAATCATGAAATATGAAAATTAGGTACGTAAATTGTGCTTTAAAAAAATGTTAAAAGTGCAAACGAATAAAAAAAAAAGTATTATGTATTTCAGTAATAATATATAATTTAAAAAAAATTGTTTGTGCCTTTTTTGCAACATGACAGCCATCATTTAGGTATTAAGCTTATATATATGTACATGGTGTAATCCTCTGTTAAATTTTGTCTCATCTCATAAATTGGCAGTCAGGGCATTCATTTCATTTGCATTCAAAAGAACAGTTTCTTTAACACATAAATATTTTTGTCTTCGTCAATGTAATCTTAAGTTTGCCTTCCCGTTCTATTGGGGGAAAGTCTCTTATAGTGAGTAAGTCTGCTGGCTGTTCTTTTTAGCAAACATGTCCTCATTTTATGCCCTTTTCTATTATTTGGGTTATTTTTCAAGCTTAAATTATTATTTAATATTAATAACTAAATTTTTAGCACTGAGATACTGCGACTATTCGTTTAAAATATCTTATAGTAAGAATATGTGTCTAAATGATCGCAAAGCTTATCAATTCTTGCTTATATATGATCGCATGTTTATCAATTTTATAGCAGTAATATTGATTGTAGGATGACAGATAATTGCCATATCATCTAAATTGAGCAGAATACTTTGAACTGAATGACCACCCAGAAATTCATTTTGAATTGGAAATTATTTTACAGTACTTTTTGAGATTCCCAACCCAAAATGGTAATGTGGAAAAAAAAAGTTTCCTTTTTTATTGCAAGCATAATGGAATATAAGAAAAAGTTTCTCTACACAAATAGTGAAAGCCATTTTGGTTGTATTGACATTCATATTGATATTTTCGTACTTGTTTTGTATACCATATTGGCTTCGGAAAATGGTTCTGTGAAAAGTATTTGTATTGACTATTTATATGGAAGTGAAGAATTATGATTAAATTCTATTGCCCGCAGCAGAGTGTCATGAATTTCCACATTTCTTTTTTCTGTGTAAACTTTTCTATCAGCAATGCTTTTCTTTTTCTGAAGCGGGGATCTGGCAGACCAATTAATGAGAAACAACTGAAGTATTCGAACCTCTGAAATTTTATTTAACTACTGGTCGAGTAAGCCTATTATTTCATTACTACTATTTTATCAAAACCCCAAAATTATAGTTTTTTATGTATATTTGTATGGGGGCTACCTTGTGAGTTAGAATAATTTTTCTTACCCCCGACTGTGCCATACTCGGAATTTTCTTCGAAGAGTTCAAAAACTTAACATTAACGTAATATGCAAGACTATAATGCGGAGACTACTTTACGTACATTTCGCGGAAACCGATTGTTTTTTTTTTCATTTAAACGAGATCTGAAAGATCTGGATAAATTATTTAAGCACGAATGAAAATTTTTTGACATATTGCAAACGTCAATGATGTTTAAAAATGTAAGGCCCTTGGAACTCCCAACTCCTACAAATTACATGCCCAATATCTCAAGTCATGGATTTCCCTTCATTAGTTTTATAGGTCCAAGGAAAAAGATAGCGAAGTATAATCAAATAAGTAGCCTTTCAGACCGATTTCATTATTTACTTTATGCGGTACCAGAGTAAACGTTGCACACAAAAATTCAATTAAAATAGCTAGTGGAACGAATGCGAAAAATATGTAATATCAACCGCGACAACAACAACAACAACAACAACAACAACAACAACAACAACAAACAACTTAAGACTTTGCCTTCGCAAGCGCACTATGCACACAAGTTATCTTGAAGGGATGCGAATATCAAAGTTGCTAAACGCATCGGAATGTGTAAAAGCGGAAGCAAATCTTGTTCGTATATTACAAACGTAGTCGTCTCGCAAAATGTTTTTCACAAATAATTACAAAATATTACCATTGTCATTTATATTTTACTTTGCACGTGTACCTCTCATCATAATAACAAAGAAACAACGGTTGCTAAGGCAGTTTAATCTCAAACGTAATTCCCGCCGTCATAAATTAGAATGCTTTTTGGGTGAGAGTGGTATCCATCACATTTAATGAACTTTTCAATTCCGTTTTTGAAAGTTACACAGCAAAGAACAGCATTTGATTTGGAGAACACTTTAGAACATGACAAACTTTACCTTTCTTTGTTACTATGACAACAAACAATTCTGTTCTGAGCTCTCTTTACTGATTTATAAATTTAAATGATTGAATTCCAAGGTTTGAGGATATTTAAAATTGCTACTTAACAGAAGTTTATTATTTTTAAATAATCGAATAGCAATTTTTTAGAAGAAAATGGAAGGGGAACCAGGAGCTGATCAACAGGTAGTTTATTTGCTTACTTCATGAATGACATTTCTATAGATTGTGTTTGAAATTAGTGTTATTCAAGGAGGATGGTGTAAATCAATTTCATAGGATGAAGACAATGTTGAGGAGGAGGAGGAAGAAGAAGAAGAAGAAGAGGATGAAGGAGTGGCAGACGAGAATGATTCCAGTAAACTTTTCCAACAAATTTTCACGACATACCAAAAGGTAAGTACCAACAAAGAACATTCTCAATAATATCAAATTCCATTTTCCTTTTTCTTTTTTATTAAGAATTCTTAAAGTCTGATATTTTCGCATAGAAATTTGAAAATCAATGCGATAATATTGCGAGTGAGATAAAGTCCTTGTGGTTGATTTTCTTAATTTTAAAAATTTCTTTGTATTTCATGGATGATATTTTATGAATTCTTTATGTTTTGTGAGGCATTTATATAAAATTTACTTTTCTTATCCATGAATTTAGTTTTGTGGCTTAATTTTATAATTTGAAATTAAAATTGAGTAACCATTTTAATACATTAACATCTCTTCTGTAATTGCTCTTCCCATTTTGACCTCACTGTTGGTATTGAGAGGAAATGAAGAAATATGTGACAAATTGGCGTTATGCCTACAAAGTGAGTTGAACACATTCTTGGGCTATATGTGTAGAATTTTGAGTAATTAGGGACCTTGCAAATATAAAAAAGAAAAGAGAAAAAAGAAATAACTGAGTATAGAAGAATGTTTTCTTAACAATAATTAGTATTACAAGTAAAAGTAGTGAAATGAAAACAATATTTCTCAATGTTCAAATGGAAATAATTTTGTTAAATGTTATCTCCGATTTAACAAATATAAAGGTTAGAATTCATTTAAAATCACTTTTAAATGAATTTTAAACTTTTGTTGTGAAGTGATTCATCTGTTCAGTGTTTATTATTATTATTTCAGTTATTAAAAATTCTTAATGAACCATGCAGATCAAATTTACTAGACTTTTCTGTTAGTAATATACTGACATCATCTCTTGAATATTCAAACCTTACAGTGCTCTTAAGATATTAATTGAGATTTAATTTTTAGCTCGGGTTCTGGAACACATAAAATGTTTGCACATTTCATGTACATGTTCTTTTTCATTGGTGTATGGAGAAGGCAAAATGAAAACAATGGAACTTCTATTAATAGACATCACCTCGAAGGGAAAAGGAGGGCATTCCCCCCTTCCATCCCACTGTATTTTTTTTGGCAAAAAGGGATATTGGGGGAAGCTATATGGTAATATGTACCTTATTATCTGTAATGTCCAATAATTTAGTGGTGGTAATGCCTATGGATACAGACAATGTACAATGAAAATTAACATTAGAAATTACTTAAAAGATTGCTAGCAAGTTTTAGAAGCATTCGAGGAGTCTGTAAGTCTATGCATTACAATGCATCAAAATGAAAATGCTTCTTATTCAGTCAGACACTTGTGTCAGCATCTCTCAGACATCTTTCAACCTGTTTGCCTGCATTTGTGTGAATGTTTTTAGATTTGAAATTATTCTTAGTCATTCCAGTCACTTTCGTTATAGTTGTAGAAATTCAAAAAAATCAAATATGATACTACATTCAAATTTCTATTACACATGAAGTTTTGTTCCACCAACCTTTGAAACATATTGTAGAACATTTAATACTAAGTGGTAAATACCAAAAACTATAATTTGGATGTGGGTACTGATTTCAATGTTTTGAGTAGAACATTATCTTTCATTTCCATTTTGAATTGAAGTTGAAAATTCAGTTTATAGGTGTTTTTTTAAATTCTGTAGTAGTTGCTTTTCAGTTTGTTCACTACCCTGGGCATCCCCATGGATATAATAGACATGGTATAATAGTATAAGACCTTGCCATTCCTTATTTTCTCTCTTTTTACCTTCTCCCTACACAAGCCTTGTGTAGCTTTAAGATTTACAATTTTAAAAAAAATCATATTATGTGCCCTCTGCCTCTATTCAGATATCTTGAAAGAACCATGTGTTATTACCATGCATCAGGAGTCAGATGTTCTCATTATGACTGTGAAGTATGTTCTTATTTGGTTTTTATCAACAGTTTCCGGCAAGCATATTGGATTAATTTTGGAATCACAGCTCAAAATATTTGAAAATGTAGAAATTTAAATTAACTGATATATTCATTTTGATAATCATGTCAATTAAAATAAATATATTATGTCGAAGTTATTAGGAAATTTGCCTTAACTTCTTAAATATGTTTTGTTTTTAACCAAGATGAAAAGAATTTGTTTCTAAGCAATATGAGCTAAGGAAAAATTAGAAATAAGATCCGGAAAAGTTCCTGTTAAGACTGTGTATGTGTGTGTGTATATATATTTCGGGTATGTCTGAATTTACAATATTGCTTAATCTCAATGACATATTCACTTGTTATTCAGTTATGTATCTAGGTAAAAGCACCACAAGTGGCCACAATTAAGAACATTTTTGTAGTTTTCTCAAAATTCTTGACCTACACTTCTAAATATGTTATGTGAAATTCAAAGGGTGATTAGCTTATCTGAATGTATCCCTTTACAGAACAAAATTGCAAATTTGTTCTATTTTTATTAATTTGTTTTTAAACACCGTTTTGTTTCATTTGGGTCCACTTGTAAACTGCAAAATGGGTCAGTTACTCAAATCAATAATAGCCAAATGATATTCTACTGCCTGAACGTTTTTGAGACCCAAAAATTTAAAAAAAGGACATTTTCACTGTCCATTATTGCAACGCTAATATTAACAGTGTGCTTTCACTTAATTATTTAAATACAAAATAAATTAAAAAATAAATTGTTTTTGTTTTAATCCTCACCACTAGATGGCATAACCCCCACGTGCCGAACGTTTGAAGTAAGTGGGGAGCCAGCAATTCTTATTTTTCAAATTGGGTGGTTGAAGCGGTGAACTGGTGTCGTTCCCTCATATGAGGTATTTGCTAACAAAACTCACTGACTCCATTCGTAAAACTTTTACAAGAGGTAAATATCTTGCGTCCACACGCGGCTTGATGCGAAACATGGAAAAATCTCGTCACAAATGAGAGGGACAAAAGCATAAGTCACTTAAGCAGAAGTTATAACATTAACTGAAATGTGCAGGCTCAACTGTGTATTCAATGTCTTTTCCTCCAACACTTCATCACTATTCATTCAGTTTTGTCTTACTACAACTTCGCAGTAGTTTGTTCCTTGCTATCGTAGCTTCTAGCTATCTAAGATATTCACACCAATTCCGGTAGCCGATTTTAAATTATATTTCTTTGTAGGGGTAGGACCCTATACACTTAGCAAAAAATGCAAAAAGTGAAAATTGGAAAAAATAGCTGGTTTTGAGGCTGCAAATGCATCGTACGTTTGTCCTGCAAACTTTTTTGGACCAGTTATACGATTTTCATGAAATTTTCTGTAATGATTCATCTTAACTTGGAACATGATACTTTCCCCTCGAAATTCCATTCCCACATCTCCGTCCATGCCTCCTTCACCATCCCAGTCCCTGTCCCCATTCTCAACCCCCCCCTTTTCTAATTTCTTAAAGCAAGGGCGTACCAAATTTTCAGGAATATGTCGAAAATCTGTCCAAATAAACTAGAATGCGCTGAAATGTCCTACTCAGTGAATTTTAGTTTCGAGCAATTCAAGGTCAGTATTGTAAAGTTAGTAGTTTCGACAGAGGGGGGAGGAAGAATGAACGGGGTGGAACCTGGGTGCTTGGCGGGGATGGACGCCTGGAAGTGCGGAGCGGGACAGAGCGAGGCTGAGAGGTGCGTTGCGAGGGCAGAGAAGTATATAAAAATAATTTTACTTTACATTATAGACTGAATTAGTGGCATGCAACAGCAAGAATTGCTGTCAAAATATTGAAAATTTGAGTATAATTGTAACATCAAGTTTGATACGTCGTGTATTAACATGTTAAAAAAGTTGAATTTTTCAGACAAAATCGAAACTCTTTCATTGTTTTGTATTTTCCCGAGTTCCTGGATATTTAATGACACCATAGAAATGGCCGAATGGCTGAAATGGCCGAAGAGTGCATAGTTTTCTTCCAATGTCTGCACGCACTGGAAGCCAGTTATACACTCGCATATTCCTTCCTTTTCCTCTCTTTTAGACGATTGTTATGAAAAACGTCCAATGAATGCGAACTTAAACCCGTTGCTTCGTAATGAGAGAAGGGCTCGGATTCTGATCACAAGTCATCTTTTCATTGGTGTATTCTAGACGTAGCTAACTTGTAAATGAATGTTTCCCACGACTTGTAGGTGATAGAAATGTATAGTTATTGGGAAATTTTTTGTCATTTTGTGCAATTTTTCAGTTTTTAGGTAATTGTTTTAGACACTTCTTCATTTGTCTTTTTCACGCATTTTATTTCCTTTTTGTGTTTTTTGTTAGTGAATGTATCATGAATTTACAATGACACACTAAAACAAAGATTTGATTTTATCATCAGTTCATGACGAAATTCACTTCTGCAATCGTCTCTTGTGTTAAAAGTCTGTGACAAAATTACACAGATTTTCAGTAACTTCCTCCACCTTTCGAAACTGATGGTTGGAAGATAATAGCTAAGGATGATATTTCCTCTTAAAATAAAAAATTTATATTAAACATAATTTTGTATAATTACATTTTATTTAAAAGTATAAAATACATTGAATAAGTAAACATTTTCATACACAATTTTGAGTATTTTGAAAAAATTAGGTCATTTCCTTGCTTATTTTTAAGTCGTTTTATAGGTCATGTTTCTGTTATTTTTAGTAATTTTATAGGTAATTTTCCCCTTTTTTAAGTCATTTTATTGTTCATTTCCCTCTTCAAGTAATTTTATAGATCATTTTTACCTTATTTAAATAATTTTTCAGGTTTTCCCCCTTATTTGTAAGTCATTTTATCAGTAATTTTGAAAGAACGTGTAGGTCATCAGTATCCGAGCCCTGGTAATGAGAGTAAATGACTCATAGCAGATCAGCGCGTAGCTGCACTTGTTTTTCACGACATGTAGGTGATAGAAATGTATAGTTATTGGGACATTTTTTGCAATTTTTCCGTTTTTAGGCAATTATTGTAGGCACTTCTTCTAAAAGTCTAGCGAGTGAATGACTCATTGCTGATTAGCGCACAGCTGCATTTGTTTTTTACGACATCTATGTGATGTAAATGTACAGTTATTGGGACATATTTTTGTCGTTTTCTGCAATTTTTAGGTAATTATTTTAGGCACTTCTTCTCAAAGTCTAAAGAGTGAATGACTCATTGCAGATAAGCACGCAGCTGCACTTGTTTTTCACCACATGTAGGTGATAGAAATGTAAAGTTATTGGGACATTTTTGTCATTTTTTTCAATTTTTCAGTTTTTAGTCAATTATTTTAGGCACTTCTTCTAAAAGTCTAGAGAGTGAGTGGAGTGAACGCCTGATTGCAGATCAGCGCGCAGCTGCACTTCACGGACGGCATGGAGGAGGTGGCGCGGGAGTACACGCGCCTGTTCGACGCGGCCAAGGCGTGGCGCATCCAGGGCGACGAGCTGGGCGAGCGCGTGTGCGCGCTGGAGGAGGAGCTCACCGACATGGGCTTCAAGTACTCCGAGTGCAAGCAGTACGCCATCGGCCTGCGCGAGGAGGTGGCCGTGCTCAAGCGGGTGCGTCCACAACTCGCCCTTCTTTCTTTCTCTCTTTCTTTTTTAAAAAAAATTATTTATTTATTTATTTATTTATTTATTTATTTATTTATTTATTTATTTATTTACATTTTATTTATTTATTTATTTATTTATTTATTTATTTATTTATTTATTTATTTATTTATTTATTATATTTTTTACCTCGAAGACATGTTCAGTGTTTTGCCCAGCCATCCAGTGGCTGGTGTAATCGGTGCGCGGAGCGGATCGCCCGAAGCCCAGGGCCCCGAATGTTGTTGGGATGTATGTAAGAAGGGACCGCTTTGTTACTCCTTGGCAATTGCTGGGAGTTTAACTGCAGATTAAGGCCGTGTGCTAAATTAGTAATGCGTTCATTTGCAGTTGGTTCATTTGTAAATGATTTCGTCACATCTTACAATGCCATCGTCCAACATGATTTTCTTTTATTTTTCGACCTATCAAACTGGTCCCTTCTTGGACTAACTTCTCTTCTATTACCCGTCGACCGCGATAAAGATGGCATTGGCAAATAGGGACCCATTTGAACCCTCTGCACCGGAGCTCCCGAGAAGTAGCAACGCCTCGGCTGCCGCCTTCTAGTTGTGTGCTATCCCACGTCCAGCCACGTCCAAGTGGCGTAGGGCTAAGCGCGCTGACTTCGCGTTCGGGAGCCCCGGGTTCAATCTTCGTGCCGGCCATCCTGACCGAGATTTTACGAGGCCTCGGTCATCCAGGCGAATGCTGGGATGGTTTTGCTGAAAGGCCACAACGGAGAAACTGGCGCCGCTAGCCGAAGTCGTTAACTAAGTGAACTCACGAAGGTTAAGCGGATTCGAGTTATCGAGTGTGCCTGGTTGGGTGACCGACTGGGAAGCCCGGGATCTAACGGCACCGAGGCCAATTGCTCTTCACGGGACATTAATGGCTAAATATAAGTACAAGTTATCGGTAAGTTAATTTCTTGTCGTTTATTGGCGAGGCTGACAGCGTGCGCGTGCGCGTGGCGTGCTGCAGGAGCTGGCGGAGACGAAGAAGCTGGCGGACACGGCGCACACGCGCGAGCAGGGCGCCGTTGAGGTGGTGGCCGGGCTGCGCACGGAGCTGGCGCGCGTCTCCAAGGAGCTGGGCCACAAGGCGCGCATCGCCGTCCCCGACGAGTGAGGACGCGCGCCTAGGCTAGCGCTCAACTCGTACGGTTGTCTTCTGTCGCGGTGAAGTCGGCGCGTTCAGTCAATGAAGCGTAGGGAAAGCGAGACGCTTGTTTTTATTGCATGGCTAAACTGTGTGTCAGACACGTTTAACGTGTCGCAGACAAACGCGTGAAAGGGGTTTAAGGAAGTTCGCATTCATTGGGCGTTTATCATAACAATTGTCTAAAAGAGAGGAAAAGGAAGGAATATGCGAGTGTATAACTGATTTCCAGTGCGCGCAGACATTGGAAGAAAACTATGCACTCTTCGGCCATTTCAGAAGTGTCTATGGTGTCATTAAATATACAGGAACTCGGGAAAATACAAAAACAAAGAAAGAGTTTCGATTTTGTCTGAAAAATTCAACTTTTTGAATATGTTAATACACGACTTATCAAACCTGATGTTACAATTATATTTAAATACTCAATTTTTTGACAGCAGCAATTCTTGCTGTTGCAGGCCACTAATTCTAGTGTAGCGTCGTGCCACGCTCAAAAACGTGTCGCAGACAAACGCGTTGATTACCTTTGTTGTCGATCTTCGTGAAGACTGCTACTCGATAACAGTGGTGACTGTGACAGGTAGGCGCGAGGGACACTATCTCCTTCCTCTGAATTGATATTTGCTTTTCCCCCCTTGCACTCTTTAAAAAAGTGTCAATGAGGTACGCTTATTCATAGATATAGCGTCACCCTGGATTCGAATACACCCGTGGAAATCATGCTCTCGGACGTTCTCAGCTTCAGTTTCATTGACCGGGGGCGCCCGTTGGGGCGTTGTTCCGACACTTGCAACCAAAGATATCGTCGCATTTAATGTTGGATTGCCAACACCGAGCTGGCAAATGACCTCTGGTGAAGTATGTCGTCGAGCAGAGAGGAAGTATCGTACTTCCGTGATATCTATTGATCGATTTACAAAATTATACCGCTTATTACGCGTAATGTTTGTTAGCACACTGTATTCCTCACAGGGGGCGGACCAGTGTTATGAGTAATTTGACCGTCAATAATTTTACTTGTTTTATGAAACGACACTTAAAACGTCGTTTTTTAAAACATGTTTAAAAAACTGATCGTTTGCAACTGGCATAATTTTGAGCGCAATCCCTGATGTTTTTCTCTTACAGGCACCACTGATCACATTTTTCTCAAATTTTTTCAGCTACAGATTACTAATAATACCGAAAAAATCAACGCGTTCAACTGAAGCTTGTTCCGCGTATACAATTCAAAATGTCATGCACACTCAGAAATGATCAAAATTGTCCATTTATTAAAGAGGTTCCATCAACTTTTCAGCAATAATTACGTTTGTTCACTCACGGAGTTTAGATATTTCATTTTGACATAACTAGTACAAACCTGAATTTACAATTAGTCTACTTACCTTTATCTCGCAACAGGATTACGTTTAGCTACTCTGAACTACTCAAGAAAGGGTTACATATTTCTGTGACCTTTTCAATGATTTGCATTGCAGAAAAAAAGGAAAAAAGGAACACCAACGTTTGTACTTCAAATGTCGCTAGTGGTGTGTGTTTGAAGTGCGGTGCGCAGGGCGCGTGGGCGGCGTGCGCTGTTGCAGCGACCCGCTGGCCATGGGCAAGCGCGGCCAGGAGGGCGAGGTGCGCGAGCAGGACCGCCTGGCGTCGGAGCTGGCCGTGGTGCGCGAGCGCCTGGAGCGCGCCGTCTCCTACTCGCGCGAGGTGGAGAAGAGCAACGTGAGCCGCGAGAAGCGCATCGAGGAGCTCATGGAGCAGCTCGAGGTGAGGCTCGCGCCGCGCCGACCGGCCCTCCGCGCGAGGAGCTGAAGAGCTTCTGAAATGGGGGTGCGGAAAATGTATCCCGTTTTCAACCTCGTCCCCGCTTGGGGGCCTCATCAGCCTTCGCCTCCGCCCTAGCCTCCGCCCTAGCCTCCGCCCTCGCCTCCGCCCTCGCCTCCGCCCTCGCCTCCGCCCTCGCCTCCGCCCTCGCCTCCG